ATTAACACTTTTTTACTTAATTGTTCATAATTTTGAAGCAATACTTTCAAATTAGTTATTATACTTATTCCTCTCACAGAATGAAGGACAACGTTCTATTTTCCTACTAAATAACAAGTATCATTTTCACCCCAAGTATACAGTGTACAGAGGAGAAGCTTCTGCGGAGATGCCACGACTACTCAAGTATGGCTACTTTGAGCTACTCGCTTTGACGAGAATTCATCTCTCAAAGAATTTTAAACTTGCGGATTCCAAGTCATTATTAACGTTGCTTTGCCGTGTTTTGTCCGTTTACTTTATGCGGTTTATTAAACCCTTATGAAAGCTTTCCTTTTGTTAGTGAAACGTTTGTTAATACAAATTTACGTTGTTTAGTGCAGTTTACGTCGATTATATTGTTACTTATTTCAAGCAGCTTCGGTGTGGTTCGGAATTACAATGAGCAGTCTATCAAACAGTTTTTTATAGCATTAAATAATAAACAAAATTGTAACACTGTTTAGTTAGTTTCAATTTACAAAACATTAAAAAAGTGTATATAATTTTGTTAGTATAACCTTTGACTATTGGTAGATAGACATTACATTCCCGTGTTAATGTTGTCGCCAGTTTGTTAGTCAAATGCATCTTAGTTGATGTGAGCCACCGACAGATTGTGCTGATCTAAATTGCTGATTTCTGTCGTTCAAACTAATTTGACTTATTGTAAGCTATAGCAACCCTTCTGACTCATTTAAGTTGGCCAGCAAAAAAAAATAGGGGAAAGTCTAATTTTAGACACTAGCGCGTTCTGTGAGTGGCTCATTTAACTATGTTCTGTTGGGGTAAAATTGGCTACAGGTGGTCTAAAGTAAACTAATAGGAAAATACACAGTGTATAATATTTTTGACAGCCGCTTGACTGTGACAATCCCGTTGAACCATGATGTCTAGAGTGTAAAAAACTGGCTACGACCATCCCATCTATAGATAAGATATCCACTTAGGTATAAAAAATCTCTGATATAACACGACAAATTCATTTCTCTGTACTATTGTCAAGTAAATTCATTCAAAACTAGTAAAGGCCGTATTCAAGCACATTTACAACAAAAGCGTACAATCCACGACTGGTCTTTTTAATCTTGACGAGTGTTTAAGAAATAATGAAGTGTTTTCCATCCACTAATGACCTCATAGTTTGGCCCTTGCACTTTGACCCACTCGACTCTAGGGTCAAACCAAGGATCTTATTCTGATCAGGGTTTAAATTAATTGGATCGCTGGAGTAATGAAAGGTCGGAATATCCAACTGTTTTCCGTTTATTGTTTTAATTATCCTTTAATTTACATAAGTCCTTAAAATCTGAATAAATCTGAATGCTTTGCAATCGTGCACGATTTAAACCCGTATCTTTTTATCTATGTGGTAAAATATTCGTGAAAATACATGGTAAAGATAAGTTTTAATCAAGAGTTCGGATTGTGTTTGAAATATACTGTTGTTCAATTTCAACTTTTTTTGTAATAGTTCAGAAATGCTTCTTGTGTGTGCCATGTATGGTTCATAGTTGCAACTGTTTTGTTCATAAAGTCATGTATAACATTAAAAGATTTTTTTCACGCAGTTTGACAGTTAAATTTCTCCATTGTCCAGCAATGTAAGATTAACCCTCATGTTTTAGTATATTGATTTTATAGGGAAAATAAATTAGAGTAACAACTATCTGAATATCTGCTAATTTTTTATGTTTAATAAGCAAAACCAGTCAATTTAAATTTTTGGCTTAATCGGTCCTAACCGTTTTTCAGAAACAAATCACAAATACGCAAATATTCAATAGACACACTTACATATCTAGACAGGCCCTACTATAAAATAATCTATATGAAAAACTAATTCAACGCGAGACATGTTGAAATATATATTTATCCATAGTGCTAACAGTGGAACAAACGTATTGTCGGGGACATAATTGTAAAGCACTTGGAATGATCCAACGATGTAGACAGGGCATTGATGGTCTGCGAATGAAAAGTCCGACGAAATAACAGACCTCTAATGATGGACTTGAACCACGGCGCGGCTCTTTGTTAACCACATTGGCGTGGTCAAAGGTCAAATCAGGTTAGCCAACTGTACCGCTGTAAACAATACGACCCGGTCATATTGGCATGCAATTTACTTTTTGTACTAAGTTAAGCAGTGATTGAGTTGAATAAATTATTTTTAATGAATTACTAAATGTTAAATGTCAAGTGTAAAATACTATTCAGTGTTTTTTTTTTTTTTTTTTTTTTTTTTTCAGAAAAGGTCCGCCACTATTTAAACCATTTTCCATAAAAAGCCACATTTTTGTTAAGTGATTTTTTTTTAGTTTTTGTGGTTATTGAGGTTCAGTAAATAAAAAGAAAACGTAGAGATATAAACTAACCTAACCTAACCTAAACTGTAGTTATTCCACAGTTAAAAAAAGTGGCGGCCCTCTGAAAAAGACCCCTTTTGAGTTGCGAGTATATTATGTTTTTGAGTTGTGCAATTCTGGATGAAAGCACAAAGCAATCAATTGGAATTAGTTTCTGTAGCAAAATTAGAGGAATAAACTTAACGTCGGAAAATCTTCCCTTTGGGGAAAGTAGCCCTTAAGCATGTGTGAAAACAATAGCTTTTGCGGCAGTAAAAATTTATAGTTTTACATTTTTCTCTTATTATGAACTTGAACTTCACGCCGATTGGTGAACTCCTGGTTATTTTATAGCATCTAGCAGTTATATTTTTATATTATTACGTTTACTTAAAACCGTTTTGACAGAATATTTGGATTTGCAACTTTCCTCGTCTCCCCATGAGTCGTGAGCGACCTCTGTCTATGACGTCAGATTACAAGATACACGATCTGCATCTCATATCTGATACAACCACAAACAATGGCCGACATTGACCAATCAGATGCCAGATAAGACACCTCGTCTTGTTTAGCGAAGCATTGTGTGCGTTAAATTACAGCTCTTGGTCGGTAAATTGAATTTTATGCAAAGCTGCGAGTGATAATATATATTTAAGTTTTGAGTAATCGTGAGGTATTTTACATCCAAAATATACGCACAACACATCAAGCTAAGTGGGGGAATAGGGGGGTATTGAATTGTAAAGCGGGGAATAGACGATTAAGGTGAGGTTTTGAGAGGTTTTGAAGGGTAGGGCCTATAACAGGTTATGGAAGATTAGTTAGTTGTTCAAGAGTATAGCAGGGATAGGTATAAAGAGTGTGGTGAAGTATCTAGTGGTAATATGGAGTGTATAGCATGGAATAGAAGGTTATAGCGGGGGTTCGAAAGGTATACCGGGTACATCAGAGTATATCAGAGTCTTAGCTACTTTTGGAAGGGTGTCGCAGGGCATGGACGGATATAGCGTTGTATGAAAGGTTAAAGAGGGATGTGTAATGTTATAGAGGGGTGTGGAGGGGTATAGAGGGGTAAGAAAGGTTATATGGCGGTATGGAAGGGTATAGAAGGATAAAATGGGGTATGAAATGGTATATTGTTGTACGGAAGGTTTTAGAGGGGTGTTGAAGGTTAAACAGGGATATGGAAGGTTAAATCAGGGTATGGAAGATTATACAATCGTATGAACGAGGGTATAGCGTAGTATGGACGGTTAAAGAGAGGCTATAGAGGGGTATGAAAGGTTATACGGTGGTATGGAAGGGTATAGATGGATATAATGGGGTATGAAAGGGTATATTGGGGTTTAGAAGGGTATAGAATCGTAATGAAAGGTATATCGTCGTATGGATGTGTGTATAGCTGTATGGATGGGTGTATAACCGTATGGATGGGTGTATAGTTGTATGAATGGGTCTGAACCATCGGCGAGACAATCACAATCAAGTGCAATGTGAGACAGTTTGTAGCGCACTATCCTCGGATAGAAGCAGAGAGACAATGTATTTACTGAGAAGCTTAGAGTGCTCAGAGAGTCTATTGGACCATTGTCTGAACCATCGGAGAGACAATCACGTGGAAGTGCAATGTGCAATAGTGAGACAGTTTGTAGCGCACTATCATCGGATAGAAGCAGAGAGACAATGTTTTTTCCTGAGCAGCTTAGAGTGCTCAGAGAGTCTATTGGACCATTGTCTGAACCATCGGAGAGACAATCACGTGGAAGTGCAATGTGCAATGTGAGACAGTTTGTAGCGCACTATCATCGGATAGAAGCAGAGAGACGATGTATTTACTGAGTATCTTAGAGTGCTCAAAGAGTCTATTGGACCATTGTCTGCAAGAGCAATCCGTTTATTGGAATCCACTTTGCTACTATTAGTGACTTTACTATTTACTTTGTTTCTGTTATTTCATTGTTTAAGCTCGGTATTGTTGGTGGTATTTTTAAGCATCTCAGACCTCCCAAGAACTACGTAGATAAAAGAATTATTGCATTGTTGTAATGCACTATTGAGTGGTATGGGATGTTAATATTTTTTTATTGTAGCCCTATAATTTTGGCAATTAGTTGACATTTTGTACTGTTAATACTAGGTTATTACCTTCTTGTCAGGTCTTCATCCATGTGAGCTAGGAGATAGGACATGAATGTTTGTACCTCGAAAGTATACAACGGTTCTCTGCTTGGTCCAAGCTACAAGAAGTGGGTTTGGGGATTGGCTTCGGTGCTTCGAGACTTTGGCTTTATTCGTGATTGAAAGTTTCGATACTGAAAGGCTTTTCTGTAGATAAACTTGGTAGAAATAAGGGTGTATTATCATCTCGATACAATGACACTCTAAACTGTAATTTTGGGAACTACAATCACGGATATCACTATGGGCAGTTTTATATTATATAATGAAATAGCAAGTAGTTTTGGTACTAGTATCTAAGTAATGCTTGTGTAACTACATGAACAATTCGATCACTATTTCTCTTTATTATACGGCAAAGGTTATTTCCCACATATTTTAAATTGCTGTACTTTAATTTCTGTCTACTATATTCTCGGTGTTCTGTGGCAGGAACCGTCTGGAGAGCAACGCCGAGCACTGGACGGCGCTGCTGCTGTCGCTGCGTGAGTTGTTTGAGTGGGTTATCCGCAAAGACACTGAGCTGACCGGCCTGGGACCCATCGGTGGTGACGTGGCCTCCCTGCAGAAACAACTGGTCAGTAGCCATACCGTCACATCAGTGTGTAGACTTATTTAACATTGTATTTAAGGTTTAAAAATACTAAAATCCCGATGCAATTAGACTAAACTAGAACCAGTTATGCCAAAGGGGTTTCGCTTAGGACGTCTATTTGTTTATTGTTTATTGTAGGTTATTCTAAGTGTACAAATATTTTAGACAAAATGTACATTTTGAATACTAAAACAAAACTAATTTTGTGAAATCGTTTTAGATGTGGAGATCTTCTAACTAGACCCAGTTCGCCTTGATAGCTCTTTCGTAAATTATCTTTGTTAAATGAAAGGTACAGCCAAAAGACTTATTTGCTTCAGATTACTTTAAAAACTATGTAACTTTACTTAAATTATTTTCGCTTTTCGATTAAATTAACTCTTATCAACATAAATCTGTTCTAATCTTCAGGGATATTATATATGTCTGAAATATTGCCTGGAACTATATGCCTAATGAATACAATGATACGAAGAATTGCTTGCTGAGGGATTTTATTTTATGCAACACTGATTGGTGTTGAACCTCCCTCTTCTTTTGAAAAATTATTACCTAAAGCTATTCTCATATTTGGTATTTTACTTATTTTTAAATACAAAACTAAATTACTACATTAATGGCATGAACAATTCATTGAGTCGATTAATTAAGTAAGTAGGTGAACTTAACACGCACAAAAAGTATTAACAACACTCAAAGATGTCAATATCGTATCTCCAACAAGCAAACTAAAGTAAAATCATAATCTAATATCTTTTTCCTACAGTCACCCGACAAAGTTGGCTTCCTTGTACTGTTTATAGTACAGAAAGCTGCTAATTGCTGCATATTTATACTTTGCCGTACGGTTTATACTTTGCCGTACGGTTTATACTTTGCCGTACGGTTTATACTTTGCCGCACATCATGATTCCAACGAAACAACACAAAATAGCGTGGTTCTATACTTCATTTTTGGTTCTATTATGCACGTAATCCGTGTACGCTTGGAAATAGGTTGGCAACACTTAAAGATAATAATACTATGAGCAGTTGATTGACTATTATAACTACGATTTAACCTGTCATTTCGTGTTTATAGTTTAGGCATTTCTGAACTTTCTGGACTTTTCATTTAAACGTTTTTAAAACATTCCTACGATCTTAATAAACAAGAAAATACCTTTAAAGCATTTTTTTAGGCGCGGAAACCACTTCAAATTACAAAAACATACGGAACTATATTCTCAAAACGCGGAACATATTTCTTGCCGAGGAAAAATAGCGGAGTGATACAGACCGCGGGTACTACTTTCTCTAGGACACCTATTTGTGTTGCCAGCTGAACCTAAAAACGTGTTGTATAGTGTTTGAAAGACTAATTATTTATATGCTTTATAGTGACTGTAGGAAAAATATAATGTGTAACACGAGTGAAAAAGGCCTTTGCTGCACTCGAGATCATTCCGCACTCGCCTGCGGCTCGTGCGTAAACATTGCTCTCGTGTGCAGCAAAGTGCCACTTTCACCACTTGTTACACAAATAACTATACTATTCATTAGTCTTTCAAAACCATGACATCGCAACAAGACAAGCTAATCCACAAACTCGTTTTAAAATTGTTTAAGAAATGCTATATAAGGATGAGAAATGTATTTCCCGGCCAGCCCGAGCCTGTGGGTTCACCGGTTCCCTTGACAGCGGTTGATGACAGGTCTGAGCGCCGGCAAAAACGTGTTGGCAGCGCGGCTTACAGCGCTGTCGTGCGGGATTGTCTCGTCGGTCTGCAGGCGTTACATCGTGTTAATATGCATTACATGATATCCTTCACACAAAACAACGCCTCAAATAAACGTCATACATTCATTGCGGGTTTCTTGTCTTATTTAATCGGTTGGAATAATTCCGTTGAAGCTATAACAGCTTTATTTACTTTTTTTCATTTTTTGAATAGTTAGTGTTTCTATTTTACCTCAGATTGGTAGGTATGGAATGAAAAAATACTGTGAATTATGTTGTAATGTGTAAACTTAAAATGTTTTTATGCTCCCTAGCTTTATAGTGATTTTATTTATCAAATAGAACCACGTGTTTTTTTTTTAAGTTTGCAGAATGAAATTAGTTTCTATTATTGTTGGTAGCTGCTGTATTTGAATATTGGGCTATATCTGCAGTTAAATTCAAATGTATTACATTTTAAGTTACCGGTACATAAATTTTTCCACCACAAAACAGTCATAATTTTGCTATATAAAATAAAATTGCAAAAAAATAAATTCTGATGCAAATACATGTTGAACATAAAAACTATCATATAGTGCATAAATATTTTAAGGTTAATGTTGCGGCATTTGAGCTCATCATTATGTGTAAATCACTTAGAATAAAATAAGTAAATTGTCTTTTAATTTAACAGTCGTCAATAATCTGTTCCAGAATATAAAACTCTAATCAAAAAATTGATAATATTAATTCCAAAAATAAATTATTCTCGGACATAACATTATTTTTTCACCAAAAGATGACATTTTCCATTTTCCGCGTGGAACCCAAGGGAATTCATATAACGAGTGCATTATTTTCCCCGCTTATGAGGAAGGCGTTATTGCACGCTTTGAGATAGATCAAACAGTTTGCCACAGATTTAATTAAAGTTGCCGTGTGATTAAATTAGTTTATAAAGGAGTGTAAGGCAGTAAGCCACACTGTGCTCGTGGTATACAATGCACCTACGTTCTAATAACTGCCTCTTTACTCTTCGTCGCCATTCACTACTTATTGGTTTTGTGGAAAGGAGTTAAAAGAAGGTAATCCTCCTTTTTTAAGAGCAGTCAACGATAATGTTGATTTCATAGACTTTTTCTTTACTAAATTAACATAGGTTCTATGTTTCAAGAATGATTGAACATGTTTATCACTGCAAATTTGCTTCCCTTTAAGGCTGCCGATATCTAAGTGATTCGTATTTGTCGTCATTGGATAAAGATTCGCATATTTTAATTGTAGTTTTTTTACTTAAAAGTCGGGTTTATTGCAATAAGGATGAACTAATTTCTTTAAATAACTGAACCAATATTGTTGAAAATAATTTTAATACAAAAAACTTTCAGTTTTTACCATTGTTACTCTACAAAAACACTTATCAAATATTTGTGCTTAACTTTAACCTTTTTGTTTCTGCACAATTTTATATTACATTGTGGTCTTCCCCTGAAAATCCTATATTCATCTAAATTTCTCTTGATCTTATACACTGTATTAAAACCTTCAGTTTGGGTTCCAAACCATTGTGTCATTAAAATACCATATAGCTAAAACTGTCGGTGATTGTCAACATTTGAGGCAGCATACAATTGAGGAGAGATCAACACAATTAACCCTGAGCTGTAAGACTTAATCTTGATGTTGAACTTACCTATAGAAGAATGACTAGATATTTACTTGTGTCTACAACTATATATTTTCTCCGCAGGATGACCACCGAGCTTTCCGTCGTCAGTTGGAGGACAAGAGGCCGGTTGTGGAGAGTAACCTGCTCAGTGGTCGACAATACATCGCCAATGAACCTCCCCTGTCTGACACTAGTGATACTGAAGGTAACTATACATTCTACTATTGACTATTGTATACTAGAGTAGACATTCCGTCGTCAGTTGGAGGACAAGAGGCCGGTTGTGGAGAGTAACCTGCTCAGTGGTCGACAATACATTGCCAATGAACCTCCCCTGTCTGACACCAGTGATACTGAAGGTAACTAGAATGTAGCCTACTATTGACTATTGTATACTAGAGTAGACATTCCGTCGTCAGTTGGAGGACAAGAGGCCGGTGGTGGAGAGTAACCTGCTCAGTGGTCGACAATACATTGCCAATGAACCTCCCCTGTCTGACACCAGTGATACTGAAGGTAACTAGAATGTAGCCTACTATTGACTATTGTATACTAGAGTAGACATTCCGTCGTCAGTTGGAGGACAAGAGGCCGGTGGTGGAGAGTAACCTGCTCAGTGGTCGACAATACATTGCCAATGAACCTCCCCTGTCTGACACCAGTGATACTGAAGGTAACTAGAATGTAGCCTACTATTGACTATTGTATACTAGAGTAGACATTCCGTCGTCAGTTGGAGGACAAGAGGCCGGTTGTGGAGAGTAACCTGTTGAGTGGTCGACAATACATTGCCAATGAACCTCCCCTGTCTGACACCAGTGATACTGAAGGTAACTAGAATGTAGCCTACTATTGACTATTGGATACTATAGTAGACATTCCGTCGTCAGTTGGAGGACAAGAGGCCGGTGGTGGAGAGTAATCTGTTGAGTGGTCGACAATACATCGCCAATGAACCTCCCCTGTCTGACACCAGTGATACTGAAGGTAACTACAATGTAGCCTACTATTGACTATTGTATACTAGAGTAGACATTCCGTCGTCAGTTGGAGGACAAGAGGCCGGTGGTGGAGAGTAATCTGTTGAGTGGTCGACAATACATCGCCAATGAACCTCCCCTGTCTGACACCAGTGATACTGAAGGTAACTAGAATGTAGCCTACTATTGACTATTGGATACTATAGTAGACATTCCGTCGTCAGTTGGAGGACAAGAGGCCGGTGGTGGAGAGTAATCTGTTGAGTGGTCGACAATACATCGCCAATGAACCTCCCCTGTCTGACACCAGTGATACTGAAGGTAACTACAATGTAGCCTACTATTGACTATTGGATACTATAGTAGACATTCCGTCGTCAGTTGGAGGACAAGAGGCCGGTGGTGGAGAGTAATCTGTTGAGTGGTCGACAATACATCGCCAATGAACCTCCCCTGTCTGACACCAGTGATACTGAAGGTAACTACAATGTAGCCTACTATTGACTATTGGATACTATAGTAGACATTCCGTCGTCAGTTGGAGGACAAGAGGCCGGTGGTGGAGAGTAATCTGTTGAGTGGTCGACAATACATCGCCAATGAACCTCCCCTGTCTGACACCAGTGATACTGAAGGTAACTACAATGTAGCCTACTATTGACTATTGTATACTATAGTAGACATTCCGTCGTCAGTTGGAGGACAAGAGGCCGGTGGTGGAGAGTAATCTGTTGAGTGGTCGACAATACATCGCCAATGAACCTCCCCTGTCTGACACCAGTGATACTGAAGGTAACTAGAATGTAGCCTACTATTGACTATTGGATACTATAGTAGACATTCCGTCGTCAGTTGGAGGACAAGAGGCCGGTGGTGGAGAGTAATCTGTTGAGTGGTCGACAATACATCGCCAATGAACCTCCCCTGTCTGACACCAGTGATACTGAAGGTAACTACAATGTAGCCTACTATTGACTATTGGATACTATAGTAGACATTCCGTCGTCAGTTGGAGGACAAGAGGCCGGTGGTGGAGAGTAATCTGTTGAGTGGTCGACAATACATCGCCAATGAACCTCCCCTGTCTGACACCAGTGATACTGAAGGTAACTACAATGTAGCCTACTATTGACTATTGGATACTATAGTAGACATTCCGTCGTCAGTTGGAGGACAAGAGGCCGGTGGTGGAGAGTAACCTGTTGAGTGGTCGACAATACATCGCCAATGAACCTCCCCTGTCTGACACCAGTGATACTGAAGGTAACTAGAATGTAGCCTACTATTGACTATTGGATACTAGAGTAGACATTATATCTGTATGGAACAGCTGTAGCCAATTCAATTATAACATAGTTGATTAATCCAGCAACAGATCTTCAATCACTAATGTGCAAATTTTATTTTCTCTCTTCGTTCTCTATTCTTTAATTGATGAGACATAAAACATGCATTCGTTTACAGTTTGTTGCAATTTAGGTTTTAAGGTGAACATTTGGTAGGAGTAATCGTCATCGATTTTTTCTCTATTTGAGGCTTAAATTTTTCATTCTAAAGTGGAGTAATGTTTATTACCCTTCATAGTCGAAGATACTAGTCTAGATATTCTATAGCTAAATTTCATATTGTACAAGGGTGTATGGAAGAATGAGCGTCTCTGTCTTTACTTCAATCAACAATGTGTCTACTTACTAGTAAACGACTCCAGCTAAGAGAGTTTTCAAAGGTGACTAATTTTATGAGTAGGGCCTAATAGTGTTTAAAATGTTCAATTCAAAGAAATTGGTGCAGATAGCAACTTCGGGTGTTTAATCTATGTTAGGTGCAAATAATTTGAATTTGTCATATTAAATACCCTCTAATACTCGCAAATTAATTTTAATGTTTTCATCACAAAATGTTTATATACTGGCATGTATATACTGGTGTGAATTTTTTTATATACCCTGAACACTATCATATTGCTCCTATTGTAAAAATCACTTGTATTTATCTTATAAGCCAGTATGAAATCAATTATTCTGTAATATCCTTCTAAGATCTTATACTTGCATGTTTACAATTATTTTCCACTAAAATAGTTTTAAGTTTAACAAACCATGTAGCAATAAGAAAACGTGCTGCTATTCCTATTAAATAAACCGAAAGCTTCATGAAAATAAATAAAGTTATCCAAGTAAATGAACAGCGTAACTGAATGAACCGCAAAACTGCCCCACTGACCCATAGCGGGGCCTCGCTAAACTGGATCACTACATGAAACACTAATTAAGAGGGAGGGTCTGGGTAAATACAAACGGCAAAAAGACCACAGCGACCTCAGACTGTGGATATTACACGGAGAAATGGCCACAGTTGACCGCAATCCTCTTATACGACTGTGACGTCATCAGCGTTGGGGATTAGCCGTCGTTAGCTGCAGATTTTGCATTTTTTGTATTTTGTGAGTTTTAATTTAGTTATTTTCTAAATTTATAGGATGGAATAGTCAGAACTGCGTTCTACTATTGACTTAGTATTCTATACAAATGAAAGTTGAAATTCTTTAGGATTTAGACATTTAGGGAAGGATTCTGAGTCCTGACAAGGTTGTCGTTTCCATTAGAAGTTGTTAAGGCGATTTAAAATCACATTTTTCCTTTTAAAAATACAAAAAAATTATTTTGTCTACAATAATAGTTTCCAATGTAATTATGTCGTAATTTTACATTGATAAACATACAGTATTTGTAACCAATCACCTTAGCAAGATTGAAGATCATTCTTGTTTGGAATTTATGGTAGATTGTTGCGCTAAAACCATAGTTTAAAATCATTGCATAAAAATAAAAATACCAATTTTTCAATTTTTACTCCACAAACTTTACACACAAAATTATGTAACTTTTTACAAACAATACTCCGTCTAATTTAATCATTTGGAGTCGGAAGATAGCTTTCACTTTAGACGTTGTGGTTTAGGTCTGAATGCACCTTAGTGGAAGCAACATGTTTTAATAGTAGAAAAGTGTTCAATAGTACTGAACAGTATTAAATGGAAACTTGGCCCAGACCTTATAAACGTATGAATTTAAAGTCAAAGCTGCAATGCAGCAAAAGACACAACAGTCCAGTCCTACCACAGTGGCTCAAAGTTTTTAATGAAATTTTAGGAATTTCAATTGTTTCTGACCGACACACCTCCAAGCAGTTGATTACAGTTTTAATATCAGCACAGTTCAGAAAAAGGAATGTCCGTCCTTTACGTTTTCATTTAGATGCTCTTATGGTATTTTGAAATATGCTTTTATATCCTGTCGTAAATATCAGCAAAATCATTTTGCGCATGACTTAAAAATGAAAGATTTGACGTAAATGTAGAAGTTAATAGCTATTACTTTAGTCATCATCATAACAACAGCCAAAACTGAACAAATCCAAAGTGCTTAATATCATAGCCAATGTCTTATGCAGGATAACATAAACATTATACTGAACTCTCAAGTCTTATAAAATGCACAATACTTCACCCCCCACAAACCCGCTGTACTTTGGCACTAAACTAATGTAATTCAAGCTAACAGATTGAAATTAACTGTAACATTTTATTACCCTTCATTTTATTAGACTGCGAATTTATTGCAAATATTTATATTTTATCAATTGAAAGGGTTGTTAATTTAATTGTTTAACGTGAAAACATTATTTAATGAACAGCATTGTGGGTAGTACATTTTTGTTTAGATCACTGTGGGTAATATATAACCGCTGAGAGAGATGCACAAACATTGGTTACAGAAGGTATAAGCACTGAGAGAGATGCACAAACATTGATTACAGAAGGTATAAGCACTGAGAGAGATGCACAACATTGGTTACAGAAGGTATAAGCACTGAGAGAGATGCACAAACATTGGTTACAGAAGGTATAAGTGCTGAGAGAGATGCACAAACATTGGTTACAGAAGGTATAAGTGCTGAGAGAGATGCACAATCATTGGTTACAGAAGGTATAAACACTGAGATAGATGCACAAACATTGGTTACAGAAGATATAAGTACTGAGAGAGATGCACAAACATTGGTTACAGAAGGTATAAGTGCTGAGAGAGATGCACAAACATTGGTTACAGAAGGTATAAGCACTGAAAGAGATGCACAAACATTGGTTACAGAAGGTATAAACACTGAGAGAGATGCACAAACATTGGTTACAGAAGATATGAGCACTGAGAGAGATGCACAAACATTGGTTACAGAAGGTATAAGTGCTGAGAGAGATGCACAAACATTGGTTACAGAAGATATAAGCACTGAGAGAGATGCACAAACATTGGTTACAGAAGGTATAAACACTGAGAGAGATGCACAAACATTGGTTACAGAAGATATAAGCACTGAGAGAGATGCATAAACATTGGTTACAGAAGGTATAAGCACTGAGAGAGATGTACAAAGATTGGTTACAGAAGGTATAAGCACTGCGTGTTCTCTGCAGTAAAGTCGTTTGCTACATTACATCTTCCAAGTTTTCTCATTCAACAACTCGAGTAACCACAACACAACTCCTGTTAATATTTCTTATCAAACAATTACTTTGATAGTAATGGTAGTTCTCTTTAGCCATTAGTTTTATGTTATGAGTCATTCAGATTTATTATTATTGTACATAATTTAGTCATTTTATTTATGTTTATAGTTAGTCTCATTAGTAATTAGTCATAAAAGAACATTATAATGTAACTAATGTTTTATGCTATGCGTTAACAACCCACTAACCTAGATTAGTACTATCCAAAGACGATAATAATCACAAACGACGACAACTATTACCATAATGATTGAAAACAACAAAGCTAAAAAAACTCGACCCATTTAACATTTTAAATGATCAGACTTCCTTCCAGTCAAATATTATATTTGATACATATATTGACAAGCTACAAATCAAAGAAGTATCAAATAAGAAGAACAAAACAAACTGAAATACAGGTGGCACTGGAGAGATGAAGATGAAAACACCTCATGATTCAGTCAGTTTTATTTAGTCAGTGACAGTGATAAGAGAGTGCTGGCCAGCCTTTACAGTTTTAACCAGTTTTATCACTTTTTATTCAATTTCAATAATTTGATCAACATGACTAGTTTTTACTATTGTGATTCTGACAGTGTTTTAAAGTATCTTTTGACATACCACAATGTATTAATACATTGATGATGTGGTTGCATACAATGACCTGACGATGTTCTAAGGAACGAAACTAGTTGTCATACTAGCAACTGTGGTTGGATAAGGTAATTCTTCCATTTTATCAATAATATTTTCATTCCGTAAATGTATTTCGCCAAAACTAAGTCGCTGTATTTCTCATCTTGTGCCACAAATCCTTACGTTTCTCGGTCTATTCACTTGACTAAAGGTGTGGTTTTAGATCTGAGCCTACTTGTTTGTAGATTATTGTGGAGTTTAAAGTCCTGGCAAATCATCTAGGTGTTTGAAGTATTGTTGTAAATTATGCGTGCAGGTAATTGATTAATGGTAAATGAATATTTTTTTGTGTTCTTCATATTGGCTTATAAAAGCTTATCTAGTGTTTTTAGTAGAATAAACGTCGTAAAAGACCTAATCACATGCTTATCAACCATTAAACTTTAGGTTCCTCTAATTAACAATTTAGTTTAGATACCCTACTAAAACTGATGATTAAGAAGGCTGCTTCATTTAGAATGGCCTCTGATGGTTTAATATCCTGTTTCTAACTGGATGGCTCATTGAAATGACAAGCAGTCAATGTTTTATTGAGTTTTAATTCCCCTCTAATTCACTCTATTAGCCTTATTCGTTTTAATCCATCCATTCGGGGAACGATAATTAATGTTAATTTTCTAGAAAATCTCAGTCTTTTATGTTGAAACTTGGCCAACAATTTTAATCCACATTTTGATAAATTTCTATGCAATTTCTCTGTGCAATGTGTTTAATTCTTGGGGAAATTTGGATTAGATACACAAATTTACAGTGAATTCTGTATGCTAAATTTAAACCAGAACAGTGTTTTAGAATTTCTTTGACTGTACAATTGGTTTAATTTATCTGCTATACGAAATAAACTATAATGGGTGATAAGCATTAATGATACTAATAAGATAAAAAAATAAAAACCCTAACGTTTCCGTTTCATTAATAAAGTGAGCGAAGTACTCCTAAATTATCCATATTAATTACAACTAAGTCTACAAGTCCACAATAATCATAAGGAATACGTGTTTAAAGTGTCAATAAAATAAATATTAACACAGCAAGAAATATTATCAAACAAAATCGGATGACATCTGTACTTCCCCGCTACAGAGACACATTTTTTATTACTTTTTCTACTTTAACTGTCCCTCATATCATATTCTATATACTAAAATATTCTCGAAATAATATTTTAAATTAGATGACAAACGTATAGTTTGAAATACTTTTAATTAGTGTAACAGCTTATACAAACAACAGGTGTACGAGTGTAGAGTGTAGCTACATTCACTGCAGAGCACTATGCAGTATTTGATTGCGAGTACCTCTCCTGCTCTCCTGCTGCAGCAGTCGCCTGATTCTGTTTAGTGTCTAATGCTCGCCCGTGGGGGCTGTTTTCGCTAAAAGCTTAGTTGTGTATTAACCTAACAACAATATTCTTCAATACACTTTGCCGTCAGATCGCTCTGTGAGTGGCTCAAGTATTAGCACTTTCAATGATCCTTTTATCTCGGTCCAACAATTCCATTCATCGATTCTAACGTCCAGAGTATTACGTCATCTGTGATTATCGGTTTCGTGTTTTATTTTTTTATTAAATATTAGTTACAAATTTCAGCAATTAGTTTCATAATGATCATTAATTTGTTTGATTTTATTGATTTTTTTCCGTGAAAATTCTTAAAAATTGTTTGTGATAAGTTGTTTGTTGAAAACGCTTTTAAATTAATATTTTTATCTCAGAACAATCACATCTCAAAACTGTTCATTTATACACTGTTAATCTGTTTGATAAGAAGCGTGCAAGTTGTAGAGAATCAAGATAGAGACCTCCCCTTTATTTTGTAGTAAATCTTACGACTCAAACCTACATGTATCATTTTATATGTTCCCATAATTTATTATTACTGTATGAAGAATTAAATAAGAAAGCTTCATGAACAGCACGTTTAAAAAATTTACTAATTTTCTCTTTCAGTGAAAAAATATGGCTACAGCAAGTCCATTTAGATAAGATGTCTACTTCACCACAAAAGACGATTTTTATTGAATTGTGTGTCACAATTGTGCTGAATTCCAAACCCAAAATGTGATCTTTGCAGTTTTGGACCATTTCAAACTTTCAGAATGGAATTTGGCCTGCTTTAGTATTTCATTCCTCCAGTAATTCCTCTTGAGTATTGTTTCAATTGTCAAGCTGTTGACCTACAGTGTTGCCAGATTGACCGTGGTAAATTATCGTACAAGGTGTCAAAACTATCGTACAAACAGTCCAAAATTATCGTATTTTGGTCAAAATTATCGTACACATAACAATGACGGTTGACCATCTGACCCCTATTGTATGTTCCAGCTGGTCGAGATGTGGACGGAGACTCCCGCGGGTATCGCACGGCGGAGGAACAAGCGCGGGAACTCACCAGGTGTATCCGTCGAGAAGTGTCCAAGTTGTCGGAGAAGTGGAACGCACTCATCGAGCGATCCGACCAATGGCAGAGGAAACTGGACGATAGTTTAGCGGTAAGTGTTATGACTAACCTAACATGAGGGATGTTTTGTGTAAGGGCCGTTTGTGCTTACGTATTACTACGTCTGCGTGTACGCCACAACCAGCAATGACTGCACCAACTGCACCAACCAAACAAGTGTGTATTGACAAGAGTTACTTTGTACCTAACGTACAAATGCATTATTCTGTCTACTATTTATTCTGTGCTTTAAAGGTTCTAAGTGCTGGTAATCTATTAAATGTAAAGGAACTGCCTCTAATAATCCAGTACCTGGGGGGGGGGGGGGTATCCCCTACCAAAAGTTCAAGTGACTTTTGTTTTTACATTGTTCTACTTAAAATAGTCAATATTTTATCATTTACTGTTTTATTGAACAAATTGGATTTGCCTCATTCTACCTACTCTTACTACAAAGAATTTTGGGGAGCGAGCTGTTGTAGTGGTTAGAGCGTGGGACTCCGGTTCCTGGGGTCCCGGGATCAAATCCCGCCAAATCACCAATGGATTTTATCCAAGTGATAATGCCATAACCTCTAGGTCTAGCCTGAAGTGATGTGAAAAACTATTCCGGGCTCGTGCCAAGCGTCCTAAAGAGAAGGATTTTGCCTAATTTATTTCTAACATTTTCTCCTCTGGACATTGTTGTATGCTACTCTCCTCATTCGACCTTATCTATGTTACAATCACAGTCTATGGAGTATTGCTTCGAATTTGACAATCACTTATTCTACAGAGGGGATGTAGTTATTACTACTATGGCTATGGCAAAAAAGTAGAAAACATCCACAAATGTATAGTATTTTATTGTTCTAGAGTTAAAGCGTTAGCTGAATACTTTTTCACAATTTTTAAGTACATAAAATGTATAAGTAAATCTTTCAAATACCAGACTTCAGCAAAGAAGTAGAATCCAAACCTACCGGAACTCGCAAACCACATATGAATTTTCCCCACAAACATTAATAAAGCAATTATTACCAACATAACAAACATTAAATCTAATCCGCGGAACATGTGATGACACATATAAAGACACATTAGGCCGTAGGCAGTTGCGGTGTGGAGTATTGACTGATAAATGCAACACCGGGGACAACACACGTCAGGTGATAGATTCTCATCAGCGGAAGGAAGATGGGTAGCTCAGTGCTCAGAGTCACACGTCGCTGCTTATTTCATCGTCCAAACACTCAATTTATATCCTGCCACAAACCAATTGCAGCGGACTACTTTATATGACCCTCTGGGAACCTAGATATTACATCGCACAGATTGGTGGAAGATTTCAACCGTAGTTGACAAGTGAGTTGTAGGAGGGGGGGATTAATTAGTTTGTTGATGATGGACAAGTTTGTTATTTTTTAAGTTGTGTTTTTATACTCATATTACTTGCTGATTCCTGTGTCTTTCTTAAATATCATCTACAGTACGTACATGGCCAGCATGGCAATGGAAGCGTTTGTTGTTTACATCCTTATTAAAACGTGCAAGTTTCATACACACTCAGAGTTTCCCTCTATTTTTTATTACATAGTGTAAAGGTAAAAAAATAATAATTAACCTTCCTGGTTTTAACAATCTACAATTGGTTTTATACTATTTACAAATAAGTGTTTACTTACTTACTTACTCCCAGGGCCATTTATATCGGAGGTGATATTTGGCCGCACCAACAAATCTTCGCCAAGTTAACCGGTCTTTCGCATCATCCTCCGTTGCCCCAATTCTCTCCAAATCTTCTTGCACTTGCTTCCACCACCTCTGCTTAGGTCTTCCCCGGGGTCGTCTTCCTGTAGTGTTTCCCTTTAAAACTCTTCCCAGTCTACAATCTTCATCTCTTCTTAATATATGACCAGCCCATCTGATTCTTCGGCACTTGATTTCTCCAATTACATCTGTGCTATTATACAGTTGCCTTAATTCCCTATTGTGTCTTATTCTCCATTCTCCTAGCTCGAATATTGGTCCAAAAATCTTCCTTAAAATTTTATTTTCGAATACTATTAGTTTCTTTTCATCTCTTTTATTTAATTTCCAGGTTTCTGATCCATATAGGAGAACTGGGCAAATTATTGTTTTGTACAGCCTGATTTTTGTTTTCCGGGACAAAGATTTTGATGAAAGTAATTTATTGCAAGCATGAAAACATTTATTTGCTGAATTTATTCGGCTTTGGATTTCTAGTTCATCAGTATTTTGGTTGGATATAATTACTCCTAGGTATTTAAAACTGTTGACTTTTTCAAATGTATGGCCATCAATTTCTATTGGTTCTTCAGTATTATCCAGGTATCTTGAAAAGTGCATGTACTTAGTTTTTGAATCGTTTGTTTTTAGGCCTACTTTTTCTGTTTCTTTCATAAATACTTCGGTTAAGGCCTTCAGATCTTCTAGTTTTTCTGTGATTATAACCACATCATCTGCAAAGGCTAAGATGTTTATTTTGGTTCCTATTTTCACTCCTATGTTCTTCTCTGCTACCTTCTGTAGAGCTTCTTCAATGGCAAAATTAAATAGGATCGGTGATAGCCCATCTCCTTGTCTGACACCAGAGTTTACTTCAAAGGTGTTACAGTTGTGGCCATCAATTCTAACTGAACATTTAGATCCTGAAATACTCATTTTAATTAAGGCTATAATTTTATTCGGTATGCCGAATTTTCTTAGCTGTGTCCACAATTTGTCCCTTCTTATGCTGTCGTAAGCCTTCTGAAAGTCGATAAATAAGGCATAAAATTCTTTATTGAACTCCCAATAATTGGCTACTATTTCTTTTAAGATAAATATTTGGTCAGTTGTCGATCTACTCTTCATAAACCCCGCTTGATGCTCACCTATCAACTCGTGTTTAGGTGATAAAAAATTACGTTCACAATGGCATTCAATAGTGAAGTGGTGATACAGAACAGACACATTTATTATATACATCGTCTGATTATATAATCAGTATATCCACAGTACCATCCTGATAATTAGACCAATTCGTTAATTACAAGGCAACAATGTGGTTCGGATTCCACCATAAACTGTCGGCCCCTTTGTTGCCATTGGCTGTATTGGCTATTAATTGGCAGCTGTGTCTAAGGAATATGTCGAAACAAGACTACAAGATCGTGCCAATTATCCTTCATACTTGGCTTAAAATACCTATTTTCGTACGGTTGCCATTTATAAGAAAGGTATTAAAAAAGGTATTACAAGATTTAAGATAATATGATATGATTCCTAAAATAGTGTGATTCACTCAACAAGATTCTACAAGCAAAATTTCGATTTACAAATTGCGTTAACAACCATCTCATAGTCCAATGCATAAACTGTCTCATTTTTTGTCAAACTCGACGTGTCTTACCTGAACCACTATTTATCATTTTCTTCTGACACTCAGGAACCTAACAAGATTAAAGACTTATACAACATTAACACCAACATTACTCATAGTAATGATGACGTCACTATGTCAGTGTAGTGGTGTAATGACAAGACAGTCTCATCCAATATAAACTATGACATTGATTGACACTTCACTCTCCCTGTAACTGTGTGGACCTCAGGGATACATACACACACACACACACACACACACACACTACCAACACGGTAGTCCAGTCATACTTTATTGAACTCATTGTCGTGATAGTTGTAACAACAATCACTCAAACATATACAACCTAAAAATAAAAATTTCAATAAATTTTTGTTAAATTTGTAATGGAAACTTTTTTTACTGCAATTTCTTTACTGGGGTGCAAATTACTTTCTTCTACTACTGATAAATAATTTGCAGGCTACAGCTTTTAATTAATAATTGTGTGGCAAAAATGTTTAAATGAAAATTAAGTAATAATATTAGTAGTTTTTGGTCTATATTGTATTTTATTTAGTTTCAAGATAATTACTCAGCTTACTTGGATAGCATGGAAATAAATAATCTAGAGACTAATCACCTAATCATCAGCATCAGTATTGGATTGGTTTGCAAACAGTTGATGTATTAGTACACTTAATATGGCCTAATCAGCTGAGCATTACTCATGTTGGGTAGTGGTTAGACAGCCTATGGGTAGAATACACACTGCTTTAGTGGTAGTGGAGACACACTGAAGTTGGGACAGGTTAATATAATTGATTACCCTGTTAAAACTTTACCATAGTATGAAATACATTGCTTACCATAGTATGCAATACATTGCACACTATTTTGTCCAAGAAAGCGGAATTGTTTTCCTATTATTTTATGCTAGACCAAGGGGGGTTGCAGCAATATCCCTTAGAAAAAATCCATTGATGATTGGTGGGATTCGAAGCCGGGACCTTTAGCGACCGAAGTCCCGCGCTCTACCGTTGAAACCAGCTTGCTTCCCTTTTTTACACTTTCAAGTATGGTTGGTTACAATATTAATGGTGGAGAAAGGGTGGAATTAAAATTGGTGCAACTATCTTTTACAAGCTAGCTAAAACCGTTTTCCTCCTCTAGTTCAGTGCCGTTAAAGTCAATTGTATTATGTATATGTGCAGCACAAAATTCAATTTATTATTTTCTAGTGTGTGTGTGTAAACAAACTACAAAAACTACTCACAACATATAAGTACTGTATGACCGAGTAAATATATAAACAAAATGTTTGCAAGGAATGTGCGAACAGGTGGGGGTTTCGGGTAAAGAAGATATTGAGTGTTTCCAAAAATAACAAGAGTCCAGAACCAGAGTAAAACACAAACAGGCTGTCAGAGTCGGTTTGTTCAGTTGCTGCATAGTTTACTGGTGAACTTCTGCGCCATTAGCCTTGCTCAGCTGTGAGCCGGTCGCTGGCTTGTTGGCTTTGCTTTGCATTGAACTGGACGAATTCTTTGAACATCATTTACCCAATCACAAGTTTACAGTTAAATCATTCTTCATTCTTCTTTTAGGGTGTAGAGTGATACACAGATTAAACAACTTCTTGGGCAAGACTCCCCTTTCCTTATAAAGGCACTATGATACTGCAACAGCCGATAATTTACCTTACA